TGTTCAAGATAGTTTGAGGTGACAAACATGAGATCCTGGTGTCAGCGGCGACCCAGGGTGTCAGTGGCCAGGAAGATATATGAAGTTATGGACTGGACTATCTCCATGACGCGGCTAGCTGCCAATCTTCGCTTTGACCAACGTGTTGAATCCGCAGCGCGTCCAGTGTCCCTTGGCAAGCGAAGCCTCTCTTACGGTCTTGCAACCTTCACCGGATAGACTTCCAAGACATCAAAACATGGTCCATCCCCCTGGGAAGTTGCCCAAAACCACGACTGACTAGCAGCTGGCATCATAATTGGGGTAATTAATGGAATCACCGGATTACAGAAACAAGAAAAGTGCAATTCGACTTTAACTGGGGGGGGGGCACTCAGAAGAGGTCACCAAGACTAAATCTCTTCATGAAGAAGGATGGGTTGGATTCAAGGAGGGGGAGGTGATAGGAATGATAGGAATGATAAGTAAGTAATGCATTTGGCCATTGATCAGGTAATCATGTGAGATATTCACCCAAGGACGGGGAGATACTAAACTAATGTGGGGGAGTTATGAATAGAGGGATTATGGGGGACCCCCTGGGACCCCGTTTGGGAGCTTGAAAACGTAATTTTCTGGGTAGGGCGTGGTTTTGGGGTTCTGGTGGGTTTGGTGCTCTCAGTAGTAGAGCAACAAACATGATGGGGCCACTCAGAACCATGGAGTGGAATTATCAGTTGTAGCCAAAGGTGTGAGCCAACCATGAGCCAGCAGCAGCAAAAGGATTGCTATTGGAGCTTGGTTAAATTGGAGTTATGAGCCCCCATATGGAAGGTCAACAAGGTCTGAGGTACCATAGAATGGGGGATTGTTCCGACCATACAAATGTGTTTGGGAAGTGGAGGGTGTAAGGTACTTAGTATTGAAACATATTGAAACAAACTTGTACCAAGAACTGTGGACCAAACTAATTGGGCTGGGTTAGTGCACAATTGTTTGCAATGTGTTGGCCAAAGGATGCCAAAGGCGATTATATACTATTGGAGGCCCCTTGGCGGACTAAACTATATTGATCCAGTGATTCCATTAAAGGTATAGTGTATCTATATATATATAGTAATCCATGAAATGTATATAAATCATTCATGCATGTAACTTATGTAAATACCCCATGCATGGACCGTTTGTGCATTATTTGTGGCTTGATGGGTGCCAGGGAGGGACACTGCATCAACCTCCGCACACAAGTTGCGCTTGCGCGGCGAAGACGATGGCGAAACGCCGTCTAGCCGCTGAAGATGCCCTCCCAGGGTATAGATGTGAAAGACTGGAAGGCTGGGCTCAGAATCTGTAGCCGATGTGCTAAATCCCCGGGGCTTGGAGGGACAGTATTGCATGAGCAGCGTTGCATGAAGACATGTCCTTGTCCTTGGTCCTACTTATGATATTTCAGCCTGCTGAAAAATGCTATAACATCTTCGAGCCCTCGTTGGCATCTCCACATCAGTTCCGCTGGGAGGGTGCAGCTGATCACGGTGACCGGAACTGTTTGAGTGATCCTGCCACAGTCGAATGGTGTGTTCTATAACCACAGAATCACCCCCCCCAAAAAGGACGGACCTTTCTTCTTTGGCAGGTGCGATTCGGAGGGAGCGACGGCGATAGGGTCGACGACGATCGTCTTTTTTGGTCTTGCCCCATTCAACTGGGAGCCGTTCGGAACGACGATGGGAGGCCACTCCAACCCCGACAGTTAGTATTACAGTATCTATCTCGCACGTTTGTCCATCTTGAAAGCCTCATTTGGTGCTGTTCTCAAGTCTTGACCCAGAGACAGGCGTTTCCTCAACACGATTTCCATGCATTGGGTACCCGGTGTTAATCTTCTATGATCTTCCTAGTTACTCTCCCTCAAAGTGAACTTAATTGTTTACCATGGCACTTACAGATGGATTCTTGAGAAGCTTGACCTGTGTAATTACAGAGGTTCGTTCTTGGGCACATGACCCTCACTCACAGCATGTTTTGGTTATTCTGAAGTTGTTTCCGCAAGTGCAAGAGTAGTGCAGCAGTTGCGGTGTTAAGGTCTTTCGTAGCTTCGGATCTTGTCATGAGATTCTGTATTTACGAGTGCTTTGTTGGCTTACCTTTCATCACTTGCCAGGATTATAAAATCGCTTGGGTCATCTTGGCGTCACGTTTGGCCAAACTACTTGACCAGAACATACTAGAACCGTGAGACCCGGAAGGCATGTCCCTCTGACACGCGTCTGTGCCCCCCAAAAGACCATCAACGTCGATCCCTTTGCTTTGCGCACGTCAATCCCCATCACCCGCTACCCCTTTGTTTCGGCACAACGAACACGCCGACCGTCGTCTCGTCGTCCTGCCCGCCGGTTGCGAGCACCATGTTGAACGCCCAATGCGGCAAGAACCAGTCGTGGAGACAACACAAGCGGAAGAAGAACTGCTGAGGTGGATGAACAAGATGAGAAGGTTGAATGAAGATCAGAAGTGGAGGTTGTTGAATGTGACAATGTGGATGTGTTTCTCCCCAGAGAAGGATCAGAAGGTTGGTGTTTCTGGCAGTGCATGTTGGTTGAATCAAGCCAAGCCCATGTATGGAATATGTGCTTGCAATAGACCTTTGAAACAACCCCCAATGGAGGTGAATGGGCCTTACACGGAGTGGTTGAGCATAGTCACCTAACTGATGCTAGATTCAAGGAACATCAACAATGACCGCTTCCGCACTTGAAGAGGTAGGGGCAACAAGCTCCCTGCATTGTTGATCCTTGATGTACTTGTAGTATAAGTAAATGATTTGCCTTCATGAGTTGGAACTTGGCTTGCCTCGTGTGTGTTGGCAGGGAAAAGTTGAGATGGTTTCAACTCCAAGCATCAAACAAGTGCTGTTTAGCGTCATGTAACGTGTACAATGTCATACATGGTATGAGAGCTGGTGGTTTTGTGTCCACACTGCTACGCTCCATTCGGAGATTGCTGACGCTTGTCTCCATTCCAGTGCATGAACTGGCACGATCTTTGGGATAAGGATATGAAGGGTGCAAGAGGGAAATGCATGCAAGGCTACTCAGGTCACACCATGGGCTCACCTGTTTTGGTAGAACGCTGTGGATTCCAGGATCCGCATGGATCCGCTATTTTTTTCATGAGCCATTCAGCTCACCACCACCACAAACGCACCCCATACGCAGACCGCATGGACCTGAGCACACTCCTGAGCACATTTCGCTCAGGGCAGAATGATGCTGAGCTTGAGACTAGGGATTCAGTCGAGTAGCCCTGTAAAGTCGAGACAAGCGGAGCAGCATGTAGGTGTCCTTCGCAGGTGAGACATGTGGCCCGGCCAAGCTGAAAAAGAAGCCGCGTAACCCACTTGACGGACGGTGTGGCTGGTGGGAAGGCATTTCTCGATGAGATGTGGGTCGACCGATGGCTATGGGTCAACCAGGCTTTTTACCTTGGTTCACCTAATTACCTGCAAGGTCGTTGGCTACGTGGTGGACCAGGGCTTCTGGTGTTGATCATTGTTGATCAGTCCCCAGATTGGTTGCCTTTTTTGAGGGATCAGTCAGTTGCTATTTCTTTTGCAAAATAAGCGATGTCCCCGGGACAGGGTGACCGAGACAATGACAGGTGAGTAGACCAAGCATATGCTTTGGTGCGGGTGGCATGCGGCATGGACAGGGAAGTGAGAGATGTGATACGATGTGGTCCTCAAGCCCTGCTTTTTTGGCAAGAGGTTTGTGACCCCGACATGGTTGAGCCCTCGGCGCAGCTGGCTCAGGCCCAAGTAGGTTGGTTGGAGGTGGTTGGTGGCCTCAACTCGTCCAGATCCACTTCGGCCTGTCAGGAGCTTGTCAGGCACCTTTAACATGTCATGATCACATAGATTGGTTGTTAGTTACGAAGATGTTAGATTATGTTAGATGTTCATTTTGTCTTTCCGAAGGGGGAAGGGGTTTGAGCTCATCCCGGCAGCACAGCAGCTTTGGCAGTGTGGACTTTGTGCTGCTGTGCTGTTTGATGGCCGCCCTAAGCAAACGGCCAGGTGGGGATTCACGTGTTGGTGGTATTCGAAGGGTGTCTCCAACCCTTTGGCAGATCTATTGGGGTCAGGATTGTGCGCAATGAAGAAGTGAACAAGCCGTTTTCAGAACCAGAGAGGGCCAATTACATTCGAAGATGATGGTACTGTGGAGCCGCAGCGGCTTTGGAGATGAGTGTCGGGACCTGGTGCCTTTGCCGGGGACACCGACCTAATCCGGGCCCAGGACGTTGGATAGTGTACGGTAACGTAAGAGAATTCGGCGAGGCAGGGGGCAACCCTGGGAAGCGTGGTCATGTCTTTTTAAGCGCATTTGGCCCTGGAATCAGATGATCTGGAGATAGGGTTACATTGCAGGTAAAGCACCTTGTCTTCCGACGTGTCTGGTGAGTTCTCAACTGCCCTTCAAAAGCCGAAGGACAGACTTATTCACGGGTCAATTCCTCTAAGAAAGATAGACTCCTCCGGATTCCTTCGAAGAAAACTTGATCTTGTTCAAATTCACTCAGGCCCTTCATCCATCCCTAGGGCTTCTGGCCTACCTCCTGAGAAGATGGTTATGGTGGGTTTGAAACGCTCTAACCACCTTCTGAGGATATGGTTGGAGCCCCAGGGCATTTTCGGCCGCGGACTCCTGATTTGACTTCAGATTCTTCCAACCAACGCCAGCCGCCCCCAGAGACGTCCTTTTTTTGAAGGAGCCATCCGCATCGGGGCTCGGCTCTTTGGCGGAGTGGTGAAAGGGCCATTGGAATCGAAACATCTTCCAATCCCAGCCTATCTTAAAAAGATCCAAGTTCCAACTCCAGCTGCCATCCTCTCACCCACCCACCCACCACCGCCGCCGGATCCGGGAGGATGGCAGGCCGAGTTGCAGCGTTTCCTTACGACCTGGGCAGACCGCCGCACAGCTCCCAGCCTGGCCTTCGGCACGGCGGTGGTGGCTGCCATGGGCCGCGCCCAGGCGGTGTCCGAGGCGAGGGAAGTCCGAGACGCCGAACACCAAAACGACGGCCTACCCAGGATAATATACCCAGACACTCCATGGGACTGCCATATTTGCCGATCAATTGGGGTGGTTTGGGGGGTCAATTGATCAGCATATATGGCAGTCCCATGGAGTGTTTGGGATATATATATATATATATAACCCTGAATGTTTGTTGGGATTGGTTTCCCCACTCAATAGTCTAAATATGAACAGATGGATAAAAGGTTAAGCATTTTGGGGAAGCTGATGGAGCCAGACGATCTGCGGAGGATGAATCCCAAATCCGCCATCCAACCCAAGGGGGGCATTCTGCCCTTTGAGGCTGGTTGTTCGTTTTATCACTATACATAGAAGTTGATTCTCGACATTCACCGGTAATGCCACGGGGGATCATTCAACCGCTGCCAACCTACACATATTCATACGATTCTACAGGACTGAGTGGGCTTGGCGGATGTTTTCCTTAAGGTGTTTGATTCTTTTCTGGGCGAGATGGGGATGGTAGGGGGATGAGGAGGGGCGGTTCCGCACGCGCCCGTTTGCGCCCTGGATTGTCCATGGGGTTTGCTGTGGATGCGTGTGATGTTTACAACAAGAAGATAAACATGCTATCACACACCACCACCACCACCACCACCATCATCACCGCCACCACCGCCACAACTGCTGCTACTGCTACTGCTGCTGCTGCTGCTGCTGCTACTACTACTACTACTACTACTACTACTACTACTACTACTACTACTACAGCTAGTACTTCGATTACTACTACGACGACGACGCCGGCTACTACTACTGCTGCTGCTGCTGCTGCTGCTGCGACAATCTACTATTGCTCCTGCTGCTATATTGCTGCTAGTGCTGCTACTCCTGCTTTGCTCTGCTTCTGCTGCTGCTAGACGCGTGGCCGAGGTGCGTTTTCTGCACCCCGACACACGAGAATTCGCGACATACCGTGCTTGTAAGAAATGGCAATTCCAACATGACAGAAATGCGTGTACACACGCAGGTGAGATGAACACCTGTAAGTTTTGGTGATGGAAACGTGTTTTATGAACGTGCACAGATGCAAACCGTGATTTGCATGTGGCCATTGACCAATCATGTTTTTTTTGCCATTTTGCCCCACCCTGCCCCCCGCTTTCCCGCGTCCTCAGCACCTCCATGGATAGGCTAGTTCGTTTGCTGGGGCACCTGCAACGACAGGGAACTGCTTGGGGTGTGATGCAATATGCAAAATCAAGTCCGGAAGTGCGGATTCTTGGATCTTGGAAACCGCTGTGCTCATCGCATTCAGTCCGTTTCAGATCTTGCCCGTTTCACGTCGGTTCGCGTCGTTCCCCAAGCATTCCCACCGGCCGCGTCGTTCGGCGTCCCGCCAATCGGTCCGGCGCGTAGGCGTTCCAGTTTGGCCGATGCTTGAGGGACGAGGGCCTCGAAGTGGACACGTTCTTTTGCAACAACCTCCTGCAACTGGGAGAAACCATCGGAGACTTCGAAAAGAGAGAACCGCCAGTGGAGAGGACTTTCGCGACATCTTCAGAGTTACAGTCTTCGTTGTGACTTTGTCGAGCTGAGATCGGGCTGGCTCGAAGCAACAAAGGTTTTGCGCGAAAGGGAACAACTATGCAGGGTGATCAAAGTAGATTTGCATGTTTCTGCTGCCTTTTTTGGATTGAGGGGGTCGCTGCTTTCCTCGGCGCAGGCAAAACGATGAACATCCCCTGAACAAACATTTATAGGACAGTGGGCTGCTGAAAGACCTTTGGGCTGGAAAATGCCTAGGTTGGATGTTCTTCTTGATTGAGTCGAGAATGAGATGAGAATATAAGAGGAGTTGATGGTTTGGAGGCCTTTCTAGCTGCCACTGAGGCAAGCTTGTTCATCCACAAATCGCTGGGACTTGCCCTTGTTTGTCTTGAGCGAGATGCAGCTTGATATCACAGGCGTGATGCGGATGCGACTTGCACAACGGTTGTGGTACGTTTACTTCGGGGAGAGCGTTGTGTATGTTCCTTTCGCACCGTTTTTGAACGTTTTGCAAGCTCGCTGCATTTGCTCAATCGTTGGACAAGGACTGCCATCAAGTCACTACCCTCACCAGTACCCACTAAGCAATCCCTTAACGGGTATTCGGTGTTACTGTATTTTATTATGCTGTAATACATTTATATACTGTATATTTGTACTTAATAGTCTAGGTGTTGATATTTATCCACATGATTGGGGATTCCGTCCAGCCGCTGGCACAGCAGAGGACCTGAAAGGCCAGGGAGGAGTTCACTCTATAGAAAGAACAACACACATGGGTCAAGCAGAAGTTGATGCACCTGCCCCCCCGAAACCAAGAAAACATGAAACACGGCTCAACTTGAAGGATTGTGCCTTGAATAGGATTCACCACTCACCTGCCTGACAACCTGACCTACTTCCACCTTACGTGAGTACCGGACAACAAAAACAGAGCCGCACACAAGATGTTGAATTATGGGCGGACCCATACTTTACTTACGTGGCATGGTAGCCGATAGTGAGGCCGGCCTCGTTGATGGCCTGCAAACGAATATGGATGTTGCCAACTGCTCACATGAAAAAACACGTGTGTTTTTGGTCCAATGTCTAGCATGTGAGTCTAGCACCCGAAAATAGATCTCCTCTCTCCAGCAACTCTGACACTGCTCGCCCTCCAAGGCTTCAGCTGGGCCCACCCTTGGACCTAGCCAGCTTGGGCCTTGTGGCCAAGGAGCTCCCTTGGCCCCGAGCGGTGCGCTTGCTGCAGCTGCTGCCGCTGGCGGCCCTGCAGCCAAATGTGGTGCTACAGGGCGCGGTGATCGCACAGTGTGAGAGAGCAGGGCCACTGGGATTGAAGGGATGGGTAGCCGTCGAGGTATTGGAATGAAGGAGGCATGAAGGAGAGATCAACCACCACACCTCAACTGTGCAATCCATTCATATATTATTTTTGGAGACACCTAGTCCACACTGTATGGGCAGGTGCTTGGTCGCCCCGCACCAACGGGACCGACGGGACGGATCACGGGCCACGGTGAAGGCACAAAGCCCAGCACTCCGCTTTGGCATGGTTTTGGCGTCCAGCCCCCCACCTGGAAGGTCGTTTCGCTACCTGGACGAGGGCCCCGAATGTGTTGACCCATCTCCTTTTAAGTAATTCATATTGTAATTCCATATTGACTGCGAAACAACGAACCTTTTGTAGGTGGAGTGGTTGGAAAAAGAAAGAGAGATACAGTATGGTTGGGAACACTGACTGTCCGCAAATGTTTCATCAACAGCAACGTGACATTGGAACCAATGTCAAGCTTAAAAGTCACCTTCAACAATGCACGGACTTCGCTACTTACTGTATCGTTAACAGGCAGCTCAGCCTTTTGACAACCTCGTCAACAGAGGGAGTGAATCACCTCGTTTCAATCGCCAGTGTTCAGCTATGGGCGCAGGTTGCATCAGCTGCTCGCCTGACGGCCCCTGAAGGAAATGGAACATGGCTTAGTGTGCAAGAAGATTAGAGTTTGGCTCATCCTGAGCTAAGCAAATGGCAACAACCATGGGCACAGAGAGACAGAGAGAGAGAGAGACTAGGTGGTGCTCAGGAAGGAGCTAAGCAGCGCTGGGATCCCCATGTTCTTCAGGGAGGCGCAACTTGGAGCGCCCAACTGGGAGTTTCCTTTCACTCCGGCAGCTAGGGGAGATAGAAGAGAGAGAGAGAGAGAGAAAAAAAAAAGAGAGAGATATTGGTTGATTATGTTGATTTCATCTCCCTGAGGCGATGGGAAGTGGCCCTTGACCTTTTGACCACCATGAAAGGCCCGGGCCTTGGACCGTTCATCTTGGGTTGTGGCAAGTTGATCCTTGACTCCTTTGGTCAAGACAGGAGATAGCCAGAAGGAATCAGCCATCACTTACCACATGCAAGCTACTACTTCAAAACAAACCCAAGAATAGGCTGAGAACATCAACCAATTCCATCCTTGTTCCCTCTATGTCGCCGCAAGGTCAAAAGCTGCTGCCTAATGTGGTCAGCTGCAGTTCGGCCATCAGCGCATGTGAGAAAGGCACCGGCCGTCGGGGCCGTCCTGGCCGTTCGTGGTAGGTAAACCGTACGGACGATGACGTACGCACTATAAATCAAAACACATGTGTAGCGGCCCAAAAGATGTGTTTTGACATGGTCTTTTTGATCAGAGCTAAAACCTTGGACGGTTAGTAAGCCCGCCCTTCGAGATGGAGAGAATTGGGGCAGCTTTTTCGTTGCTCCCTGAGAAGTGGCAACCACCTTGTGCAGCAGAAAAAGTGATTAACGATCTTTTGGATGACCCTGTGGGTGTATGTGCAACCCTTTGCGCTCCACGACAGTAAAAATGGTTCCTGTCTAGCGGAAACTTGTCTTGAAAAGCATAAAGCAAAACCAAATCCCACCCGAATGCCCAGAGAGAGGTCATGACCAGTCTCTTTTGGGTTTCGACTAGCCTCGTCATGTCTCATTCATGGATACCGACAGACCGTTCTCAGACAGCCACCAGGTGGGGAGTGGCGAGCTGCACTGGCGATCCTAGAAGAGATGCGTCAGGTGCCGCCCTTCACATATGGAACGGTTGCCAATCACCATGTTTGGCCCCGAATTGGAAGCCACATACTGTATATATATATACATATAGGCCACTCCGACTCCGTGGAACTCACATGAGCTAACATGGAAGTTGAGTTCACGCTTTGTTTGTAGAGGAGGATGGTCTTCCAAGGGGCCATGCCATCCACTTCCATGTTAGCTCCAGGGAGTGTAGGTAGTAGGAGTGCCAAGATAACAAATAGACTTTTTCATGTTGGAAGTTCAGGAGCTTGGTCCAGCAAAAGCACCAAGGGGCAAGTGGACGCAGCATGGTATGGCATCGTAAGTCACTGGGTCTTGTTCTTCGTATTTGCACCGCTACCCCGCACTGAGGCGCACGGGGCGCACTAGGTTTTGCTCAGGGATGCGGCGGCTCGGGTGCTACCGGCTCGGGTATCCAGTTCTTTTCCAAGCAACAGGGAGCGACCACGGGAGTTCCCCGTAGCTGGTCCGTAGCTACTTACCGAGAAAGAACTTTTGCTTGTCCGCGGCTTCTGGAGCAGAGGGCTCTTTCTGTTGCGCGATCGCTGTTTGGAATTTATTGGAATCATGATAGAAGTAGGGAATCGCTGGTTTTTTAAGACCGACATTGACTCCGATTTTTCCCTTGCGCCAGGGCATGCTGCGAGCAGATCTCATTGCATTCAGCGCGTGCATTAGTGCATGTGGCAAAGGAGGGCAGTGCCTTGGCATGCCAGGTATGGCCAGGCCATTGGGTACGCTCAACGAATTCCCGTCCGACCGGTTTGGGCAAACCAAACGCAAAGCCACCGCTTGGCAGACGGTTCCTTCTGTATGTCTGTTCATATGAATCATGTTGACCATGAAGGAAGACAACACTTGCACAAGAACCCTCACGCTACCCAACACGCCCCGCTTCCTGGACGGCTTCCTGGCGGCGCCCAGGTGGACACGCGCCATGTGGTTGTTGTCTCAGATGCAACGGGAACAGCTGCCACCCAATGTGATTGGACCCTCGGGCCGGGCACGGTTCGTGCGTTGTGCGGTGGCTCCCGCGGTTCGTGCCGGTGGCGAGATCTCGCGGTGGAAGAACAGGGGTTTCTCAAGATCGGACGAAGCTATAAGTGAATTGGACGAAGCAAGCATCTCCAAGTGATGATGTCTTAGGATGGGATGGACGATGTCTTGGATGATGAACGAAGTACCCCCAACCATCGGAAGCAGAACTCGGAGGAAGGTGACGACCCGAACGCCCCCGGAACCCTCAGTCCAAAGGATCGGAAGCTCAACACGGGACCGGTCCTCGCGTCGTTGTGCGGTCCTAAGAGAGGATAGGTCCCCTTTGGATCCGGGTCAAGTAGCTGAATGAGCAGAAGGGTGAAGTCAAGTGAAGTCCATGTGTTTTTTGTTCTTTATACATCTTAGGTTCTTACAGCATGGGCTGTTTGTTTAGGGGTCTCTGCTAGGCGAAGCAATGTGAAGCGGGGAATTGTTTGGGCACTGTCCTGACTGCTTAATGAACAAGAAGCTACTAGTAACAAAGAGCATCGCTACGAACGTAGCTCCTGGCATTACTACTAGGAACAAGAAGCTAAGCGGCAACAAAGGGCATCGCTAGGAACAAGAAGCAAAAGGGAAGTTTCGCTCGAGATTCCGTTCCAGTCACCTGCTTTCGGGACCCACACTGGGCCCGAAAGAGGGCCCCCGCCGAAGACGAGAGGGCGCCCGCCGCTGTCACGTGCTCGGTGAGATCGGAGCTGCAGTCATGTTCCCATACACTCCATGGGACTGCCATATGTGCCTACGTTGGCCCCCCAAACCACCCCAATGTAGCCATATATTCCATACATTGATCATGGAGCGTTTGGGGTTGTTTCATGTGGTTTCAGCTGGTTTCGCGTGGGGGTTCGAATCTCCCATCTCCCCATACATGGGTCATTCTCGCCCTGTGGCAACTGGGAAAGGACATCATCAGCTCAAAGATCCTGTCCAGTTCTTTTGATGGGGGTGTCTTTGTGTGCAAATGTTTTGCTCCAGCACATCCAGCTGCTTGGGAGTCATGAGGAGAGAACCTGCATGGGGCAGATTTCAAGCACGTCTCGGGGTTGACTATCCCTGTGCTCAGTCTACAACGCCGTGTTGAATGCATTGGCACAGCAGCCAGGGGGGGCTTGGGCTACTTGGTTGGCAAGAAGACCGACGGCACAAGATTTGTGCTTTCAATCAACTGAACGTGGCACCCCAAGTTCAGTTCATATATCCCAGCATGTGACAGCATGTGCAGTTGCTTGTGCGGGGTGGTTCTCATGTTCATGTTCCAATCTTGGTATCTTTGTAGCTTCACGCGAAAGAGGTACTTAGCAGCTAGGTTCGGTGGGATTCCCGCCTTTGGGCGTCCTTAAGCCGGGAAATGCCTAAATCCTCCCTCCCCTGTAGCTATTTTGACTCTTTGTCCCAAGCTGACGACTCAAAAACAGAGAGACTTTGACTTGAGGTAGCAAAGAAGGCCAGCGTAGACTAAAGACTGAAAGTCCTCAACAATATTGCTGCTTTGATTTGCTTTGCCGTTTTCTTCTCTTTTCCAGCCTTGGGCCTCAGAAGCCTCCAACTTCCGAGGCGCAAGTCTTCGAGCTGCTGCGCCGGGTGCAGCAGCTGCGGTCGCGAGAGAGCCGCGATGCGGAACTGGAAACCTTCAGCTGCGCCCTAAGAGCCCTGGGCCGTCAGAGGCGGTCAGAGCCGCCGTGGAACCCAGGAGTCGTGAGATGGGAACTCGGGAACTGGCCACCGAAAACAAGAAGAGTATCCTACTTGATCCATTTTGATGCTACTTGCACGTGGTGGCTGATACCCCTAGCAACTTGTAGTCAGTCCTGTTTCGGATGTTCAGGTTGAAAGCGAGTCCTAGTATTTGGATCATGTGTGGAATGTTCCAGTGTGCTTGAGTTCAGTGTTTTAATTCAAAACGAGAACACATTATCATTTGTGGTTGCAAAGCAATTCAATCACGGAAACTTCGTGCAGCGTCTTCAATTCACAGGCCTGGATCTGACCAAATTCAACCCTTCAGTCACGGCATGTCACAGCCATTGTCGGCCTTCATGGCGCGAGGTGGCGAGAGAGCTTAGCGCTTTGGAGCCAGCTTCAGGGCAGCTGCCAGGCAGGGGTTCCACATGCCTCGATCCGGTTGATCGAGTCATGGCCTTTCGGCAACGAAGATGTGTCAGGGAAAGGGCCGGAAATGTGACTGAAGATGCCTTTCCATCGAACAGTCTCCCTGCGCTTTGCAGCACACGAATGAAGGGCTCGAGGAGGAGAAGAGACATGGAGGCAGGTTACCTTCACACCTGGACCTTCACACCTGGGACAGTCTTTGGGTCATTCACTACCTTCGACCTTCGAAACCCAGCCTTCACACCTTCACACCTACCTTCACACCTTCGACTGCATGAAGCTAGGCTAGCTAGTCATCATACCCAGTCGAGCTCCTTCGCTATTCTCCGTGTTTATTATCCGTCGGAGACCGGGTCGACCCGCCATGGAGGGGAGAACATGGCGCCCCGGAGAAACGAGCTTGGAGATATACAGTCGGGGTGGGTGGTTTTCATAAGACTTGGTGATCTTCAACCTGTATAATGTACTGTAGATAGATGTACTGTAGATAGTAAACCCTAGGAAACCCTTGCATTTGAACTGGACATCCTCTTCAAATGGGGGGGCTTGTTGAAGTTAACATCATGAATGCCACTCCTCCTATCATCTCCGATCTCATCAGGCTAAAACATACAAAAAGGACCCTGGTGCACACACACACATGTCGATTGAAATGTAATTTACTTGAATGATTTTATGATTTGAGATTTCCTGGTTTCAACAGGACAAGACAAATAGATAATTATGTCACCAACATAACATGTGGCAACGCAAAGCTCGCTGAATTGCTGGCACGGACAGTCCTGAAGACTGGCCAATTCCACCTGCAGGCCGATGCCATCGCCTTTGGTGCTATCCTTGCAGTTGACATGGGAAGCTGGCAAGTGTCCCTGGTGCCTTAGCCAAACATGACATTCTCATACAGAAAAATCAGCTCCCACACGTACTTTGCGTAAGTACAATATTATATACATGTGTTGATAGCTACAAGACAGTCTAGCGGATCCTAGAAGACTTGGGGTCGCAAAGATGGACTGCGATGTGCGCCACTGCGATGTGGCAATGGCTCAACAACTGGGTACCACCCAAGCTGATGTTTGCCAGAGGGATGCTTGCTGTTCCCCCCACCTCTCTCACCGACTCTCACCAACTCTCACCGACTCTCACCCAGTCTGCTGGCCGTGAAAGCCGCAGATGTGTTGCGCAAGTGCTGCGCGTCGCACTTGAGGCCCTCCTAGAGCAAATGCAAGCCTCGCACTTGAGGTGGGCAACCTGACCATTGGAGTTCGAGCCACCTTTTGCATACCTATCCGGCTTATTGGGTCTACTCAGTCATGACCTACCGTTGCTGCTGAGGTTCATGGACCATTGAATATGGATCTCGACCTAATGTTCTAAACCTATGTACGCCAGCCAGCCAGCCAGCTCCGGGTTGATTTCTCCGCCTACCTCCAGGCCGGACGCGGTGGCCTTGTGTTCGGCCAGCGGCAGTTGCTGGCACTTCGGAAGATGCCTGGAGCTTCTCCAGCTGCTCAAGGATTTGGACCGTGAGGCCATGTCTGGGGACGCACCAGCGGTGGGGGCACATCTTGGTCGGGTGGAACCCTGGAGCTGTAATCTGCAAGGCTCGTGGGCTGATGTTGGTGAAACAAAGATGAAGAACAGCTGTGAGGCACCATGACGGAAAAAGAACATGTTGCTTTCGATGTGAAGGCGCACTAACTTCCTCTCGTCTCCACATGAAATTTATTGAGATGTCCATTCATCAACACAAAACGCGCCGCAATGTTCGCATCTTGTGGCCCAAGGGCAGGACTGGCACGGTAGCGACCTTCTTCGACCTTCTTGACTGTGCGCCATGTTCCTTCTTTTGTTTGCCCTCCTGAGCACTGTGCTGGGTGACTGCCCGGTGAGCGACGGCGACGCACTGTCTTCCCTTCAGGTGATACCCAGGCGGCCCAAAGAGCGCCGGCTTGATAGCAGCATCGTGATCCCCGGGCTCGGGTCCGGTGGAAACCCGACACCGAAGATGAACACCACGGAGGTGATCTTTGACAACGAAACCCTGAGCTGCTCAGATGAGAAATGGCAGTATGGGGAGGGGTACTTGTGGACCTTCTCGCAGATTGCAGAAGCCTTCATGACCTATGGCGCCAACAAGTTCTACGAGCCGAACACTGGACCAGACAACCTGACCCAATGTGTCGCAGCTTTGGTCATTGCCTCCGGGGAATGTAGTCCTATCATGGGTTCAGGCTGCAATGCTTCCGCCACAGGACCCTCGGGTGTGTTCCAGTTGGACTTCTTGAGGTCATCAAACACAGGGACGGGCAATATCATTAACCCACAGATTGCCAAGGATGGCAACATCATGAACCTTTGCATCTCTGGCTTTGGTGCCGGATTCGTCACGGGGGCCCCCTGGTATGATGAATCCAAGGAGGAAGTGGTATTTCTTGAGGGGGATAGCTTTGCAACTTGTATGGGAGCGCCGGACTATGTGAACAACTACTCCTGCCCAGATCCCAACAGTGTGGCAGGGACGACCTACAGCAACTATGTGGGCACCTTTTGCCACAAGAGCTATGCCACAAGCTATTCACCTTGCAACATTGACCAAACTACAGACCGGTGTTGTGGCATGTGGAATGGTGGAGCTAACTCCTATCAAGATCCTCATTTGCTTCACTAACAATACACTTTGAACGCTTTGAAATAGTTTAGCTTTGTTCATTTGTACTCAGAGGTGGCATCGGCCAAGAAGGCTCCTATGGGGTGAAAGTCTTCCCCCTGTAGCCAATTGGACGTCCAGCTATGTTCAGTTCCTGGGAGGTGATTGTTCTTCCTTTGGCCCTTGCTGAGGATCCATTTCCTGACTACTACCTCGAGAAGGCGAACGATCAGTTGGCGCTCGGTGTGGACTTCAAGGGCATTTGTGAAGCAGTCCTTGAGAGCATGCAGTGATGCTTCAGATGACTCAGATGCTTGTCGCCGGCAGCCTTTTCTTTGGATTCCCCAAGTCGTGGATGGATGGCATGGGATATATTACATACATAAATATATATGCTAGCCACCCCCCAAAACCCAACTGCTTTTAAAGGATCTCGACTACCAAAGTAGCAAAGTTCCAAAGTTCCAAAACTGCACAGACCTATGTCCCCAGAGTGGCTATGGTCAGGTCATGGGGTCTGCAGTTTTGGAACTTTGG